AAGTGCGTTTTTCTCGGGTTCTTCAATAGAGTGGCATAAAAGATCGAAGACAAGACCTCCAAACTCAGTTTTTCTTCATCTTTTTCACCCTAGACGAGAGAAGAGGAGGGTGCTCGATGGGGGAGGAACCCTAGGTCCGAAAATTGACTCGTCCTCCATTGTTATTCCTCCTTCTTCTTCTCTTCTTCTTCTTTCCTCCATTTTTCTTCTTCTTCTTCTCTTCGCCATTTTTCTTCATTTCTCTTTTTAATATTTAAGGATTAAACTTGTATTTTGGATTCAACACTTGGATTTGGATTGAACGTAAGTTTTTTCTCTTGTTTAATTCATGAAAATGGTTGAATTGGGAGAAATGATTGGTTGTGTTGAATTTATTTTACTTAGCTATTGTTCTTGTTTAATTTGTAATTGTTAGGCTTTAATTTGTTCGTTCTTGTGCGAGTTGATTAGGTTAGGAATTGATGAATTCGTGCTTGATTGATTGATATAATCGAAGGGTGATACTTCGGTCTTGCGATTGGAAAACGATTGAATATTGATTTGTCGAGTTAGGTTTGTTGATTGTAAATGATTAGTTGATAAAACCTTTTCTAATTTAATTAGCGACTTTTAGAACCGAAAGAGGAGGAGTCGTAGAACTAGGCTCGCACGAGATAGATGATTTCGTAATTGAATAGTCTCTAGGTTTTTCATTGAAGTACACGCTTGTCGATGTTCATTCCCTTGTTACGAAGAGTTATTGGGATTGGATTATTGGCCGGTATTGTATGCTCGAACTTGCTCGTCTATGTTCAATCTCTTGTTACGAAAAGTTATTGGGAGCGAACCGCTAGATGTTTAAGCGAGAGTATCAATCTTGAACCGAATGATTAATTGTCCGGCTTTACATTTTGAACTTGAATAAATTATCCCCGATTTTCCCTAGCTTCTTTACCTTTGTGTCGTTTATATTTTTAGGTAGATTTATATTTTATGTTATTTCTTAGTTAATAATCAAAAAACCAATCATATCTTGGTTAGAATGTTTAGGATTTATTTTTCATTTATGTGTTATCAATGCCACTTCTAGATTCCGAACCGCCTTCCTCGAGATATCGACCCGGGAAACGAATCTTTTGATTCGGTACTCGGTAAAAACAAAATAAGTTGTGCTACAACAATAAGAAGGGAACGCATAATCATGCAATGGCTGTGTATCCTGAGGGTCATTGAAAGATGAGCGGACTTAGCGATTTATCTAAGAGATTGTTCGTGATATGACTGTTGTTCATGCAAAACCGGCAGCAATTTTGACTGCGATTTAGGAGAAAAAACCCTGTAGACAACGTTACTCGCCGACAACTGTACAACTATAAAATTAAGCTGCGGAGAGATAGTTTGCAGAGTACAGATGTGGTTGCCCAGCTTATGCGCTTGGCTACGGTTAACAAGTATATAGTTTACAAAGATGTTGATGAGGACACAGACGTTGACACGTGTGTTCATGTCGCATCCTCAAGTAGCCAATCTATTCTGGACATTTTACTGGTATGTCGGTATAGATTCGATGTACAAAACCAACATGTATGCTATGTTACTTTATAAATAATAATTTAGCGTGAATCTTAATTAATATGTTTAAGTAAGTTTTTGATTCTATGTTCCTCTTGTTGTTTTCATTTGCACAGGTACAAGATGCCGCTGGTGGAAATGATTAGAATGACGTTGTGCAACAAGAACTTCTTAATTGTCTATGCAATTATCAAGGACGAGACCGAGTACAAATATGACTGGGTTTTACAATGGTTGAGACTTCTGATAGGGCCTTGTTTGTCCAATTTTTGTGTCTTTATTTCATATTTATTTTCTTTTTGTTTTTCCCCACCTTGTAGTATTTTCGCAGCTTATTTGGTCCATTTCGTC